CTGCCTCGATGAATCAAATAACGAAGAGAACGCTATTTACGATCATCGCTTCCCTGGCATTGATTAGCTGGGAACTGAGGGTGGGTTAACTCACTTCAGTGATTTTCGGACCTCAATGATTACAAGCGTAAGCTTTGGTATACTTGTGTTCTAAACTATCACAACTACATTTGTGTACTATTCCAAACTGTCTCAGAATATCCAGGAGCAAAGATTTTACTCTTAAAGGTCAAGAATATAGCAACTGATCATTTACCATGGATACCGTCATCATATAGTCATTAAATTCCTAATGAAAGGGACTATCATTCTAGGTGTTTCAAAAAGGTGTGGCTTCATTTAAAGAAATGAAGATGACCTTGATATTTTTTTAAAAATGACATAAAAACAAAAATGTTTTTGGCATCGTGCGAGCCCCATTGGACCATTCAACTTCGTCCTTGTGATATTTGATATATCCTCAAAAACATCAAAAATATTTGAGATTGTAACGTTAGGTGCCTCACCCTGTATTTTTTGTTCTTTTCTTTTACATTCTTTTTTTTTTATATACGGAGAATTCCAGCTGAAGGTGATCACTTAAATATCTTCCTTATTTTTTGTGACATATGAAAATTGTTTATAGCATAATTTCAATGATTTTGGAGAAAGCCATGTACGAATAATTTCTTTTAACTTAATTTTTTCAAGTTTTTTCAAGATCATTACCTTTTTGAACTTGGAAAACATATTCTTGTATATTTCATTTTGGAGCTGATGGAAAAATATATTCGATGAGATCTAAGTCGTAACCTTCGGATGTCCTTGAATACCAAAATAATAATGAAAATCTGAATTTTCTGTGCTCAAAATGATGCTTGTCGACAGTAATACAGATGACAACAGCGAAGCGCTGAACGTATGAGTCATATTTATCAACTAATACGACCAAGGTCTGTTGCCTTGCTGATTGCCGAGAAATCAGTAGTGTATCGCTAAGTGTTCCGCCATTGCGTATTATTCAGAGCAAGAAGGAATTAATCTAATTTACAGTATTGGTGAAGCTAAACAGTGCATAAGAGAAGCTATACGTTTGTATGCAGAAAGATTTCCTGATTGCACCTGTCCATCGCGTTGTTTGTATGCTAAAATGGCCGAAAACATCGAGCAAACCGGTAGTACCAAAAATATAAAATCTAAAAAATCTAAAACTGTTACGTACGAAACGAACGTTAGAAACGTTGTTGCTACTGATAGGGTAAAATCTACACGACAGTATCATGCAATTAGAACAAGAACTTCGCGTCTTGACAGTCCGGCGAGGATCTTGAATCCACTGACCACCTTCTTTTTAGCAGTGGTTTATAAAAAAGTAAAAAAAATTACGCCAAGTACATGAAAAAGTGGAGGACTCAAGGAGTTATCATTGAAAAATAGAAGATCCCCATAAAAAACTACAAGAAAGTAGAAAAATATATGAAATCGAAATGAACTGCCAGTACATGGAGGTGCTTTTCAGCACAGTGCAATGGCGACACTGGGTAACACAATGTAAAATTCGGTGCTTTCCATCTATGCGTAGCTAAAATGCTGTGTTCAACAGTGCAAACGTTCAGATCCTAATGACAATTCATGTAAAGTGACTGCTCCGCACTTTGGCGGTGAAATGAAGAAGCTAAATAGCGCATCATCGACAAACTGAGACTGTTTAGAAATTTGCCTAGATTTCCGCGGCCTGAAAGTCAAATGCTTGGCGTGGCCAGGAATTCTTATGTCATCAATACCCATACTTTCTCTCTCATGGACTTTCAGGTAATTTGTCAATTTAAAACTCTGACAATATTATGAATACACTTTCATTGTTATTGGGTTTTAAAATATTTCTAAGATCATTCATCGATGCCAATACCTTTACCCTCGCAAGCTTTCAGATAATTTGTCAGTTTAAAACTCTGACAATATGAGTACATTTTCATTATTTTGCGTTTTAAAATAATTCTTATTCATCGACACCTTAACCTTGCCTGGCCACGCCAAGCATTTGACTTCCAGGCCGCGGAAATCTAGGCAAATTTCTAAACAGTCTCAGTTTGTCGATGATACGCTATTTAGCTTCTTCATTTCACCGCCAAAGTGCGGAACAGTCACTTTACATGAATTGTCATTAGGATCTGAACGTTTGCACTGTTGAACACAGCATTTTAGCTGCGCATAGATGGAAAGCACCGAATTTTACATTGTGTTACCCAGTGTCGCCATTGCACTGTGCTGAAAAGCACCTCCATGTACTGGCAGTTCATTTCGATTTCATATATTTTTCTACTTTCTTGTAGTTTTTTATGGGGATTTTCTATTTTTCAATGATAACTCCTTAAGTCCTCCACTTTTTCATGTACTTGGCGTAATTTTTTTACTTTTGTAAAGTTTTTTATGGGGATCTCACTTCTTTTTACAAATCATTTATTATATAGAATCTGTTTTAAATTTGTAAAAATAAAATTGATATTTCTGTAAACTCTGCATAAGAAGTCTAAATTGTTTTTTTTTTTTAATTGAATAAAGTAAAATAAAGAGAGAGGAGATAACAAAAGCGAATATACAGGGTGTCCCAAAAATGTTGTAACACCTTGAAAGGGGTGGTTCGGGAGGAGACTCGAGATTCCTTAGCGAAAATGTACGGGGTTTCGTTAAGGAGATATTAACGGAAACCACTGACTAATCAGTTCGCCCGTATGCCGGTGTAGCGCCTGTGGTAGCGTATGAGTGCAGCCGCCTAGCGCGTAGCCTACGCTTCACCGGCATACTCGCGCTCTGATTGGTCAGTGTTTTCCGTTAATATCTCCTCAACGAAGCCTCGGACAACATGTTCGCTAAGGAAAAAGTTGTTTCAAATCACCTACCGAACCAGCCCTTTCAATGTGTTACAACATTTGTGGGACACCCTGTATATATATTTTATATAATTTATTAATTATAAACATTTATTCGTTCAATTTATAAATAATTATAAATACCTGCAATTTTTTTTCTTGCTATACGAAATTTTAATTTTAATGATGAAATGAGAAAATGACTCCATTTCTATAAGCTGTACATAAAAAGTCTAAATTAAAAACATTTTAGTGGTATGGATCTATTCTGTATGAATGAAGGTACCTGACAATTCAGATTTTGACAACTTACCTTGTAATGAAAACCGATAAACATTTTATAACAGTTGCTGCAATTTGTTAACGAATAACCTCCAAGCCTGTGGTTACCTTCATTTGTATATTAAAAACAGTTTTCTGTATGAATAAAGGTATCTGGCAATTCAGATTTTGACAACTTACCTTGTAGTCAAGATCGATCAACACTTTACAACACTGGCTGCAATTTGTTATTAAACCCTACATAAAAAGTCTAAATTGAAAACATTTTGCCGATATAAATATAATTAATAATGCAATAGTGTAAAAACTTTTGACACTTGGCAGGTTATGAATGATGACATCTGTTTCGACTCTCGACGCTCGATGGCCGACGAACCATGCCGAACCGAATGATTCCGAGAGTCGACGAACGACGCTCGGCTTTTGCTTAGCTTCTATTGGCTAAGGGTTGACGACGGGAAAATCATACGAAAAATACCGTTTCTGACAGATTCATGACATGAGATATTACGATATATCAGTTGTACGTGGATCGATTTAATTGATTTTGGTTTTATTCGAAAGCTTATATGCGGTTTACATTAGAAAAATGCCTTTAAATTTAGAAAATATTGTAGGCATGTTGAGATATTCATAAAAGAAATTTCAGGTTAGGTTGGAATGGACCATCTCTCCTGTAAAAGATACGTGGTAGCTCCAACGTCAGTATATATGCGGAGACGGATAATTTTTCATGTACTTGGCGCCGAGACGCTATCGCGTTTTTAGATATTGCCAAAGGATAAGTTTTAGAAACTCAATTCAGGCAAAACTAGATCTAGTAGGCGAAAATACGTCTAATCTTCGAAGATTAAACAAAGTAAAAGTATTTGTTAATTTTTTGAACGTGATAACGAACAAAAATTCAATAGTTGATTATACACTTGTGTAGAAAATAAGAAAAGCTTAAAAACATATAGAGAGGCCTTGTATGAAAACGGTACTACTAAAGTATTATAATTTAGTAGCAAACTTAAATATTTAAGACTGAAACGATATGTAAATTTATCAGTATTAAGGATATAGAAAGTCTATTTGTTATTCGAGATTCAGATTTTATTTGTATATTTTATTCACAAGTTAGTTTAGGACTTAAAAATTAGTTGTAAGAGTTTTTCATATTATGTATAGATGTATATTTTGTATAAAAGAGATATTTTATACTATGTTGTAATAAACGGATATTATTAAGGATATAGTATTAAGGAACTATGTAAAAATGTACGGAGATTTCTCAGTGCAATAACTAGTTAGTTAGAAATAGTTAGTCACTATAATAAAATACAAGATACAAGATCTTGACATTCAACATACCTATTACGTATGCTAAAGCTACGAAAATTTCATCTACTTGATCCATCGTTTGATTAAGAACTTCAGAGCAGTAATTTTGGAAAGCTGATTAAGTCATCCTTCGCTAATCATTACTAGGTAAATCTTAGAAATACGAATTACTGGTTTATTGAAACTTCACGGTAGACGAGACACATAGATACGCAAAGGTTATGATTGGTAATGTTCATTGTGTTTTTGGAATTGGAAATTTGAAATAATTGCAAATAATTACGATCCAACCCAATACTTCCACGAAAGTCTCTGCTGGTAACGTTAGGCTCGCCAACCATAAAGTCGTTGAACGTTTACCAGCAGCTTATAATTTATCAGGCAAAAGGTAGCATATTGCGGACAACATATCTACGTTACAGTTTTTCATTCCGCCTTCATTGCTAAAGCGGAAAGAGCCGGAGAACGCGGTCTGTTCGCGGCGTCTCTGAACGAAACTGTGAAAACGGGGCTCGAAATTTATATGCATGGATATCTGTCTTTCAGGGATCGTGGTGTCGAATGCAGGGGCAGGCGGCGTGCCAGTCGGAATCGCGGTGGCCAGGCAGAGATTGCAGCATCAGGAAACCTCGACTTCGATGCGCAATGTTTCCCTGAGTCATCACACTTCGCATCATGCGAGCTATCACCACTTCCAGCCTGACAATCTTGGTAAGTTTTATGACCTCTGTTCCCAGCTACGAAGTTCGTCGAGCACCATTTCTCTTCTTTTCATTTCGATGCGATCGATTTTCTTCCCTCCACCCTCGATAAACGATCGCGAGGACCTCGATCTTCTGAGGTCTTTGGATTCATGGCTTGGACGTTTGTCTCGTTGCACAATGACTCTTTGGATGAAAGTGAGTAAAAAAGACGCGTTAGGTTCAGATCCTGATTTCAGTGTGGGGCAGTGTGTAATCTATGATACGTAATTGTTCAAACAATCTTATGATTCTTTAAATGATATTTGAGGGAAATTTAGAATCTCTTTATTAAGTATTTATAATTTACATTTATATTTCGACCGCAGATAGTCAGCCCTCCTCGTGTGTGATTAAAATCTTCTAACTTAGTAAAATCCCCTATTTTTTAAATTTACATTAAAATATTTATAATTCTTGAATAATTATTTAAACAAATAATTATTATGTTTTAAGTTATATGAATTGAGAATCTAACCATTATTTATCACGAAATAATTAAATGTAGTATGATCGAATCAATAAGTTAGCAAAGGTATGTTAACAATAATACGTTACTGTTTCATTTAAAAATATATGTAATTATTTAGTAACTATGTAGATGAACGAATTAAGAAACTAATTATAAAACGGATGGAGCAGTATTACCTATAATTTACTTTTAGTACAATACTCATTTTGACTAATTGTTCTGACTAAAGTTAATCTAATATTGTTAATATGAATATTATATATAAGAATTTTATTAATGTTTTATATATTCATATATAATACTTGTACTAATTATATCGGATTCGTTTTTTTTAGATGAAATATTCGAAATAAAAATTATACTGAAAACGTGTACATATAATGAACTGTATCCATGCTTAAAATAATGACTTGACTAAATCAATATTTCGTTCAAATTTTTTGTTTTATTTTCTTCTATTATAATGAAGAACAGTGAAGTCTAGTTTCACGATTTTAATTGATATAAGTAAATATTGGCAGAAATAGTACAGCATCTATGGAATGTGGAGACAAATGCAGTCAACGTTGAAAAATAAAGGTATTTGCATGTGCACAAAGAACTATGGAAGTTAAAATCAGAACTCAAATTGGTTCCTTAAAGTTACAATTCAAAGTGGGAGTTAAAATTTCATCGCTTTTTATATATTCACCTGGACGTTCTTCGAGTGATTTTCATCTGTTTAAAATATAGATAACCTTGTGCTTCAAAAGTAATTAAAAAAATGTATAAATAATATAGACGGCATTGAAGTAATTCGTTAGAATGAGAACACAAAATTGTTCGTTACTGAAATACAGTAATTGGTAGCGCACTGTAAAGAATGAATTAAATTGAATCTTTTATAATTCTATGTAATTTTAAAATCACGCATTCATTACCAGCATTTTTAATCTCTGATTTAATCCAATTATTTATTTGTGTCCATTCTTATTTTAAAGAAATAGTACGGCCACGAATAAAATTAGACGTATTACATTAAGTATTCTTTAAGAGCAATGTACATCAGTTTGTTCTTTATCTTAACTCAACCGCAGTTGTGCGCCGTCATTGGATAATTCTTCTTTTAATATTATTCACTTAATGTAGAATTTCGTTAAATAATATGTGTTTATAAACACTAAAATTTAGATACCGACTGTAACTATGGGTTATACTTCAGTGTTATTTCAAAGTTATGATGATGTTACTGACATTTGAAATAATGGTTTTAATTAATATTATTCAGAAATGAAATTATTTATACTTACTATTTGATAAACGTATATAGGGTTACGTAGATTCAATTTTAGATCACAATGTTTCAAACATCGAATTTTATAATATTATTTGCAGAAATTTATTGTCATTGACAGAAAATTACTTAAAATTCATATTCAATGGAAAAATTTGTCTAGACAATCTTATTACTACTCCTTTATTTTACCAAGATATTAGAGGAACAGAAAAATCACAAAAACTTGATTTAAAACTGGGTCATTATTTTATTAAACCCTTGTGAAATATACACAAACCACGAACCTCATTGTTAATATTAATAAACGTACTAATTTTGAAAATCCAAAGAACGTGTTTCTACGTGTTTATGTTCTTTCTACGCACGGAAGTAACAGCACGTCTGAGATTGATTTGTACAACGTAGGCTGTTATTTAAATGTTGCTGTCATTGGGAAAAGTGTTGTTGAAAGTAACAGTGACGCAACGAACGCGCCTTAAGAACCTGGAACAATACCAACGCGGTTGAACAGGTATGAAAAGTAATTAGCCTAGAATGAGTTTTTCTTAGCGGGTTTCATACACGCGAATGTTGTCGACCCTGAACAGTACGTATCAAAAGTGGATAAATGGCGCGAAGAAAAACTTTTGCGCAGTGATTTTCGATGCTAACGTTAGCTAGTATCGATTTCATTTATATTTGTAACATTTTTTCTGTTATTTCCTAAATGCTTCGGGGAAAAGTGGTAAATAAATGATAACGTCTTTAATTCGTGAAAACTATGTATATTGACACATTTTAGCCAAAAATCTGTTAACAAAATTGTAATAAAACCCAACATTATGTATAAACAATTTCGATCTTCACTATTGAACGTTCTTCATTATTTTTTCTGCTTTATGTAAAAAGTTCTTTTATTTATGATGCAATCATTTTGAAATATTGAAACTATTGTATATGTATACATTTTGAAAATACTACAGTTGTTGATGAATCTATAATATTAGATGCATTGCGGAAGAAAATGGTTTATTTGGGACTTACTAATCAACGAATAATTTTGATGAACATGTATTATTGAATAATTAGTTAGTATGTGTATATGTATGTAATGCTATCTTTTTAAAAATGTTTTAGACGTACATTTTATTTAGTATTAGCATTGTTTCATAAGAGTGAAATTTAAATCTTCTACATACCACTTTTCAGTCCGAAAAATGGTAATATTTGAGAGTTTTTCCTGGTCATTCTGAATATCTAACATAAATGTTTTGTTCTTATACTAAAACCATATATTTTAAATCAAATTTCTCTCAAATTTTCATACAAAAATATTAAACTACACAGAAATTACAGTTACATAGATGGAATGCTCTAAATGATCAAAATCGAATAAGTAGAATTTTTAGAAACTTGAGTGAATATCGCTACTGTTACAGAAACCACGTTCTTTCGCGGTCGCGTTATGATTCAAATGATATATCCGTTTTCCATGTTTTGGATGGAAGTACATATGAAGTCCAGTTTGGAAAACCTTTTATATAGTTGTACAAGAAGATTTGATATAGTAAATGATAGCAAACCTCACAGAGTGAATGTTATACAGATTTCTAGGCAGTTGCGTGCGTAGACGGGAACAAGCATTATCGGATGTGCGGCTGTTTTCATTTTAGGGCATCGCGCAGCCATCGGCATTTTTGTAAGGGGGCCAAAACATCTGGACGGAATATTAACGAGGGCCATGAAAGGGCTAGCGGCGCGGGCGTTCTTCGAGAATTCCTCTTCCGTCATTCAAGGGTTCGAAATCGATCTCCCCGCACGTTACGATCGAATCTTCCCCAACGAATATTCCACACCCTCGCAGTTATTTTTTTTTTCATCTCGCCGTAGAAATTATGCACACGCCTTCGTTTGGTTGACCCACTGAGCCATCGAAAAAGCGAAAATTCACGGGTCCTCGATTAATCGCACGACCAAGTGGAAAAGCGGATTTGAAACGTGGTTGGTAAACGAATTCGTCGGCGGTGAGTGTTTTTGAAACGTCTTTTGTTCAACAATTTTTCCAGCTTCTTCTCGTCTCTTTCTTTTTTCGTCGATTTATTGATCGAAACCTAGCTAATTGATTCCGCGATGGAAAGGGGAGGACTGATTGAAAAATTGTGAAAATAGCGTGGGTGGTGTATTTTTCAATGGAGAGGGATGAACGATTGCTTCGTTTCGTGCAGAGGGCGTTTCGTTATTGGTGGGACTCGCTTTGATGATAGATCCATGACTGAGGAATTATGACAAGAATTCATCACTATGTGGTTTATTTTACGTCGTTTTCAAGTTATAGCTTTTTCAATAGTCAGTCGTACTTCATATACATGAACATCATTACAATTTAAATTATGTTTTTTCCGGCTTTGAAGTTCCTTTTGCTTTCTCACTTTTTCTCAATTTTTTTTTTTTTTTTTTTTTTTAATTTATTTATTTAAGGTCGCATCAACATCACCGGTTATTAGCGACCACCTTTCTGTTTTACAACTCTGAAACTAAATTACATTTGGTGTAGTTTCAGGTGGCGTACATTTAAATATTATTATATAAATTTAGATGTTGTATGAAACTAGTTATATCAGACACAGAATTTTCGTCGTTCAGCACTGTTTGCAGATTATCTGGTATGCTGAATTTGCTTCTAGTTGGTTGCAGAGAGGAACACTCAAACAAGTGCTTAACTGTTATAATAACATTGCAGTAGGTACACATCTTTTGTTGGTTTTTAGACAATAAGGGTTCGTGAGTCAGTTTACAGTGTCCAATTCGTAAACGAATGAGGATTACTTGGTTTTTTCTTTTCATGTTGTTAAATTGATGAGTTTCATATACATCCTTCCTTACTTCAGACAGTTTTTTTGGTATTGACTGAGTCCATTTGGAATTCCAGAATTCTGTGTTTTTTTTATGTAGAAGTTTTTTAATATCCTTATGATGAACAAGAAGATTATGGTAAGGGTTTTTCGTAGCTTCTTTTGCAGCTTCGTCCACGTAATCATTTTCTTTAATTCCGACATGAGATGGTATCCATGTGTATACGATTTGATTGCCGGCAGCAGTAATTTCATAGTTCAAATTAATAATGGCTTCAATAATTGGTTCTTGTTCCTTACAAGATTTGAAATTTTTCAGGTTTTCTAGTACACTCATAGAATCAGTAAAGATCACATATTTAGTATAATTTAGTGATTTAATACACAGTAAG